AACGTAGTCGGTATGGAATAATTCAAATACTGTGCTTCGTAAAGGTTAGGTTTATTGGACCGAGTTCTTGAGATTGCAACTCTCTCAAGGAGAGGCTAGCAGCTGACAATAAATTTTCTCAATATTGACGAAGATATGGATGTTCTGGTTGGATTTTACGGACTTGTACAATTACGTATGCCGTGCGGCCGCCGCAAATTAAACGCGGAAGTGTCGAAGATGAAGAGATTAATACGATATCGATTTTCTCACATCGGGGCACAAAATATGTGCTGAATATTCTTTTGTAACTTTCTTTAAGACTCTAGGTCTCTGTCATCGCTATTCACTGAATGATCTTAGACTTCGCATCGAAATATGATCTCAACGTAGCCATGGCCCATTTGAATCGCCATGAGTCTCGGTCAGAAGTCTAAATTATTGGGCACATGGACTTCTTTCCAAGTAGCACTTTGATTAGGCATGAATTTACTTCGAGTAGAAAGAAGAAGAGCTTTCAAGGTGAGCATGAAGCTGCTGTACCTCAAATGCAGAAAACTAAATATGTTCGATTTGGTTTGCAACGATATTTTTAAAGGTCTTGAGCTAAATTCGGAAGGCAGAAATGCCACTGAGCTGCGATCTCCAGAATGTTCTCAAGATGAGGAATTATCGCAGTTATTGGCTACCGTCTCCCGAGATTGGAGAATAGGAGTGAATGCATGTTGCGGTTTTATGGGTTCAAATCCGTTGGATTGGCTTACGGCTACAGTCTAATCGTAAAACCTTTATGGAGATTCGGCATGATTAGGTCGGTCAAGGCCTGTTGTTTCATAGTTGCCCGCACACTTATAGCTGACGACATCTATTTATATGCACAAAATATTCTGTAAACGCATTTGAAAGTGGGACCAGTAGTCAGCTGCTGTACTAAATTTTTGTCAGGTAGTGAGTAACACCGCTTTGGTGGTATAATAAATAATGTAATTTTAAGAGTCTGAATTAATCGAGATTTACCGGCACGTATTTGAATAAATGTTGTTAAAGTGATATCTTGGTCAGCAAAGATTCAAAACACAAACCCAAAAACTCAACCAGGTTTTTGTACTTTATTTACATAAACTTTTTATTCAAAAAGAGAATTTGATGTTGATATTTAAGAATAAGCTATTAATATAAACAAAATACGTGTACCATTCAAAAAGTAAACAAGTACACTAAGTTCGGTCTCATGGGTGGCGCTTTCTCCAAGGTCGCTGTGCTCATCATTTCAGCCCCCACCCTCACAGCTGTTAAATCCTACGTCCCCAATTCTCAGACGGAGCAAAATCATGACATCGTGCCGATTGGTGGTACAGACACCGATATGTTGCCCAAGAGATCTCTCCAAGGGAGTTATGACCAAGTAGCGATCCCTGTGGTTGAAGAAGAGCGTGCATCTTTAGCTAATTTGATTGAAAATGCAGGAGAAGATGCGATTAGAATACTGGTTTCTTCACATATGGAGAGGACTGAAAATAACGTTCTGGAGTGTTTAGAAAAGAAGATTATGAATGGAGAATACCTCGGTTCTCCCGCCGACCGAGATGCCATCATCAAGTTATCCTCTTACCACGCCAAAAAAGTTGAAGAGGGCAACGATATATCAACCGCAACCACGAATATAATGAATCGCTATGACCCGATCTCTTTTATCCGTCGAGATGTCAAAGCTCTACATGATGGCTCCTCCGTCGCCGCCAGTAAAGACATCCAATTTCTTGAGGAGGCCTTCGACATTTACATGTTTTGCGTCGGCGAAATTGAGAACTACGCTCAAGAATTAAAAGACGCCATAGCTGAAGTCGCACATCATACCAAAGAAGCTACAGTAGCTCTCATTGTCGCCAACTTAGCCCGTGATATCAATTCTGCCCACTCCGCTGAAATGGCCGAATCTTCCTATGCCCACCACACTATGCAAGCCGCACTTGCTCAGAAAAATGCCGACGTAGCCGATGCTCAGACTAAATATTACAGTCGCATCGCAGCTTTGGCATTTCAAAATCCCGAATTCGCTAAATTCGATCACATGCGAATAATCCAAGGGATCCAAGACGCCCATACTGTTGCTCATCAAAGTCAACTTACCAGTCAGCAGACCAGGCAAAGGCTTGGAGAGCTCGACTTGACTGCAAGACATTTCTTGCTAGACACATCGCTTAAATTTGAAAGAAAAACGGATACCCACAGGTTTAGCTATGCTCTCCGCGAGAATGTCCAAAACATCCAGAAAGCTATCGGAGAAGCTGTTGAAAAAGCCAATCCTGACAATCCTATAAAGCTTCTCAAAGGTCTGACAGAGATGCAGACAAGATTTTTTTTTCGCATGGTCAACAAATGGAACGAAGACGGTATTAAAAATATCGTCAACCAAAACAATGAGGATGATGTTCCGTGGGTTACACTTTGGTACATCGTTTTTTGCGAATTTTGCGTAAACAATCCTGAAATTTGTTCGAACGGGAATCCCAGGTCCCCACTCCAACAGGTAATTGATGGTAGATTGACAAAGCGGCAAAAAACTGTCGTTTAAGGTGCGTTGATGGGGTATTTTTAAAACGAGCTTTGTAAGCGTCGTGTCCGGTCACTGATCGGCCGTTAGAAATACACAATAGAAATAGTCGCACAAATCGCTAACGTGAATTTCATACCTTGTGTTGCTTATGTCTTCATTTGCATCTCGTTACTGCCTTATCTAAGATAATTGAGTTAGCGACGATATAAAGGATTCTCGGACAAGTCAATTATAACGGAAAAAAATTGATTACGGCTCAAACAATTTTCGCTTTCAATGATTGTACAGGGGCTCGAACCCTAGACGGCCACAGCCGTTCAAACAATTAAGAAATGGTTTGGTTTTCTCGCTCTGACCATGGCATGCTCTCTAAACGATCTTGGTTTAACATTCGCACCTCACACGCCACAGAGTAGTCAAGATTATCCAGTGCGAGAATGAGTATGCTGAGATCACCAAGGAAGCAATAAATCATGTTCTTGTTGATAAAGGTAAAAAAGAGTTTGTGACAAGAATAATATGCAGCTCGAATGATTAAACACGCCATGATAGGGCTTCCCCCTTGAACCGAGTGAGCCCGCTAATTAGTCACTGGTTGATTACACACCAAATTCAGTCTCACAAGTCCATTTATGCAAGGTATTTTTCGTGGTAAGCGTTCATGGGCGGTGAAATCATCAAGGATTAAATGTATAGCTAGGCAATCGATGATTTCCATCCATGATATATGCAGTGCTGTCTTAAATGTGCACCACCTCTGACCGTTCGTTCAGGTCACTTTGAAGTATTCACGTAAGTGCCAGACACACTACGAGCTCACAGAGGTTGCAAAAAGCTTACTGTGAGTGTGCGTGTGGATATCTTAAACGAGAACACGGTGGGGTTCGTGTTTGCAGAGATATGATGCTGAACGCACCATCGGGTCTACCCAGTTGATCGCGATGAAGTCGTCAGTAGAATTCGTTAATCAGAGACAATTAGCGGTGCATCAATCGGTTAGTAGATCAAGTCATTTATCAAGCGATGAAGAACTGATTCGAGGAAGGCGACCATGAAAATCACGGTGATCTACCTACCGAATATGATACAGATAATGCAAGTGGTAATGGCTGAATTTCTACAAACTTTGGAAATGAGTTGAGATCGTCCGAAGAAAAACCCATTGGACGCGACCAAGAAGAGCGCAAAGTGCACGGCAACCTCGTCGTAACTTTTCTGTGTGCTTTGGGATTTTAGTGAGCTTATGTTCTTACCTATTTTATGCTGCTCTTTTCTTTGTTATTCTGGAGTGAAGCCAGGATAATAATCGTATCAAAATGGCGTGTCAGGTGCAAAGGTTGTACCGAGTTAGCATAAAGAACATGCCATACATAATTATACTGACCCAATGCATATTAAGTCAATCTTGGCCACAGCGTTGAAGAAATTTTTGCTGCCTCATAGAAAGTCTAATTTGGGAGAGAATAACCATACAATTTGTTAGTTATTTGAAGGCAGTGATCCGACAGCCAGACCGCTTTAGATACAAGCAAGACAAGATGTCATTTCACATTAGCAATTTATGCGACTATGTTTTTGATGGCGGACTCTTCCCAATACGTTTTTCGGCCACTTAATTTGTGACCGAAATCGATCGACACACAACGCTTAGATAGATTATTTCAACGTACCTCATCAACGCATCTTAAACTAGAGTATTTTTTGCCGCTTTGTCATTCTTATATCGATTGCCTGTTGGAGTGGGGATCAGGGATGTCCGCACGAACAAAGTATACTTCCTTTACGCAAAAAATCGCGAAATACGATGTACCAAAGTGTGACCCACGGAACATCATCCTTTTCACGATTTCTTCAAAAGCAGCCAAATCCTTAAAAGTGTGAGAGAATGTTTCTGTCTGCTTCATTATTAGAACATTAATCAGCTTGATGGGATCGTCAGGGTTAGCCTTTTAACAGCTATCCTGATAACTTTCTGAATGTTTTGGATATTCTCGTGAAAAGCTTCCCCAATCCTGTTGATATCTGTGTTTTCTCAGATTTTTAAAAGTGCATCTAGGACGAAATGACTTGGATTCCAGTCGAGCTCTCCTAGCCATTGACAGATCTGCTGAATGGTGAGTTGACTGTGATGAGCAGTAATTTGGGCGTGCTGGGCCCCTTGGAGCGCGCGCGTATAATCGCGGGCAGCTTCTATGGCATTTTGTGATGCCAGAGCTGCGATACGATTATAATCTTCAATTTGAGCATCGACTACATCCGCATTTTTGCTTAGCTAGTGCGGCTTGCTTTGTGTAGTAGGCATAGACAGAATCGGCGACTTTTGCGGAAGGGGCTGAATTGCTTAAACGGGTTGTAATAGCGACATTGAGAGCTTCTGTAGCTCCTTTGCTGTGGAAAGCGAATCAAGCTTTGGCTTTATTGGGAATTTGAGAATACTCCAGAAGTTTGCGGACGTGCTTTTGTATGCGTCGAAGGCCTTCTCAAATAATTGAAAGTTTTCGTTGACAATAGCGATATAGACATCATCAATATCTTCGGCTTCTTGTTTATTGAGAGCGATCTGACGTTGTTCTCTTTTCATTTTGTTTCTTGCGGCTAATGCAATGTTGTGATTTTTACCACTATTGGCTTGGTGATAGGATGACTTGATGATGGCATCTTGGGAAAACCGAGAATATTCTCCATTTATAATCTTCTTTTTTTAAAAAAGCCAGAATGTTTTCTTCGATCCTCTCAACATTTGAAGGAAACAGTATTGCAATCGCATTTCCTCCTGCATTAAAAATCGCTTCAGATAGAAATGTGCGCTCTTCTACAACCACCACAGAGGAGTTTCTTGGTCATAACTGCCTTGGAGAGATCGCTTGGGCAACATCTTGTTGTCTCTCCGACCAAGTGGCTTGATATCATGACTTTGCTTCGTCTGAGAATAGAGGTGATAGGATTCAGCACCTATACAAGTGCTGGCTGAAATGATGAGCACAGCGGCGCGTCGCCCATGAGACCGCTTACTGTATTTTTTGCTTCATATATCACTTATATTAATGAAACAAATTCTCTTCTTAAAAATAAATTTTATATTCACAAGCTAGTTTACCAACTAGGAGACTGCTTTTGTGAAGCACCTTTCAAAACATTTTTTTCAAGGCGTCTATCGCAGCACATCTGACCTTCAATGCGATGTGCGACCACCAATATTTGTTGTCATGCTATTTGAGGGCAGGATTGGGACGTCTTACGTCGAGAATTTTATGAATTTGGGTTTACTTTGGAGCATAAATGGTTTGCGCAAGCGAATATTTTAGCCATGTGGCCACTTAAGACAAAAGTATTGTTTGTGCTTTTAATTTTCGACTACCCGTCAAGGTATGCAAAAATTTGCAGCCCACGTCCCAAATGAAAAGTTGGATAGTTGATCTACATGACTTTATCCGGGAGCGATTGCTGTTGCCATCTTCAGGGAGAGTGTATGGTTCGCATCAAAGCTGTCTGCGTCTACCCATCTGTTTTGAAAGCTGTGTACATCAATTTAAATACGAAGCATAACTTCTGAGCCACGCGGGCCGGTAAACTGCGGGAGGCGAAAACTTAGATAGCGCAAAAGGCGATAGGCCTCAGCAAAACAGGATAATAGCAATCTCTTAGCTGATGGGCAGCATTTAAGACTTGCAGATGCTTCATCTGTAGTCGTGCCAAGATCTTAGATTTTGCGCGTCCTTCTTGTAGATTTAAGATAAAAGATGTCGAGCTCACATCGAAAAAACCCTCACAGAAAAGTGTCACGTCCCGTTAAGCGCCACATAGTCTATATAAAATAATTTAATTTTTTGCTTCGTAAAGGTTAGTCGCATCGCGAGAATAAACCTTTTTAACCTTTTTGAGCCGAATGCGTGTCTCTAGCCCAATCCAACGAAACAGTGTGACTTCATTAACAAATTATTTCGTGCAAAAAGGAAGGCAGATTTGTTGACAAGGATGAAGTTACTCTTTCGGTGCCGCCACTTGCGTCAGATTGTGTAAAATTAAGTGTAAAGCTGTGTAAGCTTTTAGCAAAGCAATCATTTTCTAAAACGATCATTTTCTAGAACAGCAAAATCGACGGCAGTTTGCTTACATATCGATTGTGAGCGTCCATATAAATCACTTGTAAGCACTGCTCGAGTGGAAGCGCATAGATACAGTATTCTTCAGAAACTACAACAATGACCTCATTTTTAACCAAATCCCGTTGTGAGAATGCTTTATCAAATATCATATTCTGCAGGCAAACATACGACAATTCATGCTTTTTGCAAATTGTAGCTGGTTAAGTACTTGCAATAGTGTAGTGCAAATTACACCGACATGGTACTGTCTCTCGTCAGTATCCATTCAAAAGGATGACAAATGGTGTCGAAGTGAGGCTAAAAAACGTCAAACAAAGTTGTGAGAAAAATTTATAAGTGCTGCTTTTATCAAAAGCGGGATGATCATTTCGTATTTTTGTGACGATTCAGTCTTGAGCATAGGCTGTGCTTTACCCAAAGTAAAATTTAATGGACATGACTGCCCGATTGTGTATGAGCTTGCTAGCTTAAAGTGTTAAGGAACAGATTGTATGATCACAACAAGGCACAGCTTGTAATGAAGCCCATGTCAAGTCTAGGTACACCTGCTTGGCTCTAGGTTGTTTGATGCTGGACATATCATGCTGTGCTGCGTACAGCAACGTCTCTCACATAGTAAACAATTTTTTATCCTTCTTTGTCATAGCTCCCATGGAGAAAATTTAACTTGGCTTAGTGCTGGGGGAAGCCTTAACTGGATACTGTAAGTCGCAAGATGAATGGTATTTCTGGAGACACTTGTGCTAAATTCGCAGTATGTCCATCTCGCGGAAAAGTGCAGCTCCATGCGTTGATGGCGAGAAATCTACTGCAAATGAAGTAATTTTGGAAGTCTTAGGTATACTTTACCCTCGCTATCGTGCTATGAACTTTCTATTGAGCGTAAGAAATTATCTCTGAGTGAAGTGAACAAGCGATTACAAGACCATGAGACCATGGATATGGTAATTTCAGTATTGGACGAGCATTCAGACTCAACACCAATCATGTATCAGCTGGCTATCGAGGATCTCACAGATTGTTGTGAGAATGGAGCAGAATTGTTAGCCCAAGAATCTTATAAATCTCGAAATTTCTTTATTAAGATTACAGTCACACCTCCATATGTGGACCTCCAATAGTGAATCATATCTTATATATGGATCACCAACGTATTGCGCCGAATTTTAGTATTGATTTGTGTATGATACCTTCATTGGTGGAGTCTTGGGAACTTAAACAAAAGTGTGTGGTCACAAAACACAGGATTCCCTCCATTTCTGAACGCTCGCCTGACCGTGATCGAGACTTTTGAAGGCAAACAACCATGGGCGGAGGAAGCGACTGCTTTCTCTGGACGAAAAACGTCAGATACAAGTATATGTCAAGCGCAACACGGGCATCAAGCAGTTCCAGATTCAAGATTAAGGACAATCTATCGCGCTCGACGGCGCATCGTATCATCTATGCGCCAGAAGATGCATTCACTGTCCCTCAAGGCCGTAAAATGAATTGCAGTGTTCGGGTTTCCTGTGTTCGAGTCGGCTTTTCTTGCGCTGTAAAATAACAATGACGGCAAGGCCATCCTCACGGACGATCTCTTGATCGAAGAGGCTCGCTCCATTCGAGACAATTTGGCATCACGAATGCCGAACTCAGTTTGTCTCACGGGCGGCTCCACAAGTTCAAGGCATGTCACGGCATCAAGCTGTATACACTGCACAGTGGAAGCCATTCTGTTGATCGTGTCAGCCTCGCTGTCAGTCAGTACGAGCTCCAAGAACTCATTGCCCTGTACAACCCCAAAGACGTGCTCAACTTAAACGTATCTGCGCTGTTCTACCGCCATCCTCCCAACAAAACACTCGCGTCCGTCGAGCGGCATGATACAACAAGTAAAAAAGACCGTTTTACGGTTGGATTTCGTTGCAATCTATCTGGAAAAACCGAAGGTGTTGTTCAAGGCAAGGCGAAGTAGCCACGAGCGTTCCGACCAGTCAAGATTTCAGCAATGCGATTCCAATATTTCTACAATCCGACCGCGTGGCATAATCGAACCACGTTTGCCACTTGGCTCAGCATTTCGACCCCAAATTGCACGGCCGCAAAGTTTTTCTGCTCCTGGAAATTGCATCCAGCCATACAGTCAACTATATGTGATGGTAAAGTTTTTGCTACCCAACAAGGCAAGTGGCGCGTTCATTTTTGGTTACTAAAGTCTTGAGCATAGTGTGCAAAATTATTGCTGCGAAGCGCGGATCTAGACCCCAACCAATGGCCACCGGCGACACATATATTTGCGATCAACTCGCCAGTACTTGCTTGTGCGCACATAAGTGCTTACCCAATCTGTTTTGGCAAGTATTTTGAGGTTAACACTAAAGGGGGTCGGGCAAAATTTTGTACTTGATGTTCTTATTGCGAGCACCACTGTGCGCTGAATAGTAAGTGTATTAGTGATCTATTCAGCAAATTAAAAATGTAACATTCTACCCGTACGTTGTACGTATCGCCTCATTAACTGATTACATCACAATCGTGTTAATCCGAAGAGGCGACGATAAAGCGCATATTCCACCACTTATGCCACAAGAATTAATATTTTGTCTCATTGATATACTCGGCAGCGAAGAAAAGAAGTCTGTCATTTGAGGGCCAAGCAAATGTACGTTAGGCTTGACGAGGACTTTATGTAGCTTCTCGTTAGGAGCAGAAATTGTGTTTCTCTTACATTAAGCTAGCAAGCTCAAATACGTTACGTGTTCATGCCCGCCGAATTTTTTCAATAGAAACACAACCTATGTCAAAGGCTGAATGGTCACAGGCAACATGGAACTTCCGGACCAAAACCGGCACGCATGAAACTTTTCTTTAAAACCTTGGAGACCGTCTCGTCAGCGTCACTTCGACACCATTTGACTTCCTATTTTCGTATACTGGTTAGAAGCAGTACCATGTCAGCGTAATTTGCACTGGACTTGCGAAAGTAGCTGGCCAGCGTTTTCTACACTTCAGAATCAGCATAAGTCTTGATTGTTGTAGGTGTGTCTGCAAAATAGGATTTTGTAATCATTCACAAATTATAATTTAGTCAAAGATAAAGTCAAAGTTGTCTTGTTGGCGAAAAGTGTATCTAAGTGCATCCACTCGAGTAGTGTTTGCAAGCGGTTGATATGGATGCCCGAATTCGACAGGTAAGCAAATTGCCGTCAATAGTGCTGGTCTAGAAAAGGATTGCTTTCAGAAGTGGTCGTTTGTCAACCAATCTGCCTCTTGTTTTGCACGAAAAATCTGATACTGACATCACACATTTTCTTTAGTTCAGATAAAAGACAGTGTGATGACACGCAATTCCTTAAGTAATGTTCAATCTAGTCATGCGACCTCGATGGCAGGTCCCTCGTCATTATGTCGTGAGATATCGGTGACCTGCAGTTATCCTCAGTAACAGATTCATCTCAGACCAAGGAGACAAAGAACGTGCTAAGCATGAGGCCAACGACACCCCACTCAATGGTCATTTCGGTCGTCAGAAGACCTACAGCTCGGTGAATTACCACTACTGGTGGTCCAAGCTGTACAAGTGAACGTGCACATATGAGCGCACGTGTGAGACGTGTAAGAGGGGGAGATCATCTCCGAATGGGACGGCACCGCTGGCCAGTTTACCGGCACCCTCCGATTGTTGGCAGTCCAAGAGTATGGACTTTGCGTTTGGCCTACCCAAGGACACGGCAGGCAACACAGGTGTGGTGGTCTTTGGGGGCCGTATGATCAAGACGACACATCTTGCTGCGGCGCCGGATACTATCGACGGTGTGGGTACAGCGAAGCTGTTTGCGCATTGTGTCTTTAGGCATCATTAGCATCTGGAGTCAATTGTCTATGAAAGAGACCCGCACTTCATTGGGAAGCTCTGATCTACAAGTGCTGGCACCAAGTTGACTATGTCAATTGCGGTCCATCCTCCAATCGATGGTCAGACTGAGCGCGTGAAATCGAGTGGTCGAAGACGTTCTTTGCAGCGTCTGCGCTGAGACACCAAAGCGTTGGAGCGCTATGTTGTCACTCGAAGTGTTTTCTCTGAACAATGCAGTACATTCATCCACTAATTATACGCCGTTTTACGTGAACGGGCTTATGAATCCATGCGTCTCGCTGACGCCGCCATCCCACGGCTCAGAACTTGGTGGGAAAGGAATAGCCAAACGGCTAGCTGATGTCAACCCCCTCACCGTCCGTAAGGAAGTCGGAGACTTCCTGTCACTAAACTGAGTGTCTTACGACACGTTCGCGATGCGATGGCAATCAAGACATGCAGAAGGAATATACAGACAGAAAAGGAAGAAGAAATGTTGAAAACATTGAGGTTGGAGAGTTGGTTTTATTAAATGCTAAAAACCTTCCTACACATGCAGTTCTTCTGTCTTTACGACGAAGCTGCGTCCACGGTTTATCGGACCTTTTTATGATCGTGGTAAAGCGAGGCCTAGCGTAAACGCTGAACCTTTTGACGTGAATGCGCACCCACCCGGTGTCTTATGTAGGCTTGCTTAAGCAGTACCGGTATCGGACGTGCAAGTGAACGCGGAAGCGTTGGCGCCCAAAGACGCTCGGCCACCCAGAAGTAGAACCAGCAACTGGTTCTGAGCACGGTGTGCAACATTTTTTGTTTCCAACGGCGCAAGGTGTTCCACCGGCGCACGAAGTGACTTACTCGCCTGATTGATGGTAAGGAGCTGCTCCGACAGAGCACGATAACTCTCAATGCAAGGCAGTCGGTGCACCAAGTGCTTAAGGTTCTCGAGGTCTTCCGCACAGCGGTAGACACCTCGGAGAAATGCTCTCCAGGATGCCAATGACGACGGACTTTGTCCTCCAACGCTCGAGGAATATCACGCGTCAACGGACGGCGGTCGACCAGGTCTTCATCGTCCGCCGCCAACTCTTCTCGACGAGAATGATGGCATCCACTACCACGTGGTACGCCTTGTGGGCCGACGTCGTCGACGGGATAAAGGTTAACTCAATATCTTGTGAAGTGGCGGGGATACCCAAACTTTGAGAACTCGTGGGAATTTGAGGTGCCACTTTGGCAAGACTGTCCAGATGTCGTAGACACTTATGATCAGAAGGATCATGACGCTTCTTGTCATCTTGCACACCGCGCTTCTCGGCAATAGCCCGGGAAGCTGGAGAACTATAAGCTGAGATCAAGCTATGGCCCTGAGCTGCTGTGGTCGTAGACTGATCCGTGTGAGAAACAACAGAGCTCGCAGGTGCGTGATGGATTATTTGATGTGTCGCAGGGCGACAATTCTCAGGAAGTCGGCGTTGCGCATTGAGCTTGGCAAACAAAATCTAAGACGGCGCTCAACGCGCACGTCCACTTCCTTGTGGCTTCGCTGTAAGGTAGACAGCGAAAACAATACCCGGTGCCGCTGTACCCTTCGCTCAAAGGGTACATCATCATCTGCAGCGGTTTCGACAGGGGCGAGCACCACAGAGATGGCCCACATTGCGGGAACAGAAACACCTCCTTTCGAGCTCGTAGTCGAGCGCGGTACCGATCCATTGAGATCTCTTGGTATACAAAAAAGCAAGATCGCAGAGCTTTCTGCTGATCAAGCCCAGCTTGTGAAGTGGCCGGACGCTCGACTACGTTGAAGCCTAACGATCGAGTGATCGCGTTTTTCACTTCGGTAGCGCGATCCGCCGAGCCGAAGCCGTATTCCACACGAGTGCCTATGACCGTACGTGGATTCGAGCGCAGGAGAGCCGCCCTGTGAGCAGATTCCAATTGCTGCTTCTGTGCCTCGTCGAGGCAATTTATGATAAAAAATATTATACGACTTCCCTCGGAAGCCGAGAGATCAGAAAAAAGATATGGTGTCCGCAGGGTTTGAGCTGGTTGGTACACTTCATCTTCCTCGTCATCCCATGCTAAGAAAAGAGTATTGGACTCGTAGTCGACCTCATCTAACTCCTCGACGTAGAAATCCGTCGCCCGGGCTAGGCGCGTTGTGTTGCACCCAGTTGCCGAGGGCTAGGGGTTGTGTTTTCCGTGAAGCCGCGGACGTATTGTCCGAAGATGCACCCTGTGCAGAAGAAGAACTAGGATTTTGCCCGCGGGTGCCCTCGCTATCAGCAGGGCTGGGTGTTTTGTGTGTCGTAGACACAGTGCTCATAGAGCGGAGAAGGTTTCACGTTGTTTCTATAAACGTGAAGGTGTCTCAGACATACGAGCATCGTTTATGGCGACCGCTAAATGTGATTGAGGATATTCACAATTTTAATGATGGGAGAGTGTAACGGGGTTAGACGGACCTCTGTAAGAAAGGGGCGGTTGGCACCAGATTGTGCGATCGTGCATAGGTGTGTATTACACAGTTACTGTGATCACACTGTGGTGTGGCAACACCGTAACGAGAAGCCACCACTGCCAGTCACAATCCCAATTACTGAATTTATTAGGTTTTGCTATATTAATTTAGGTATTTCTATGCTAATTTTTAAACCTGCCTCAATTAAAACAATTGAATACAGTTTCGTTTTTGAACACAAGGTGTGGCCAGGCTTTAGTACTTAGAAGTAGCGGATTGCGATTCGTTACACTTGTACTGGCTCTCTGGAAAAACGTAAGGTCGATAACCTTGCTTAGAGAAATCTAAGCAAAGAGCTACGGCAGCCTGCTTCAACTTTAGAGTGCTTTTGTTCAAAAGGTGTGTCCAGTCAATGTTGATTCTAAATGAATTTGTGATATTATCAGCAATAGAAAAATCATTTGTTAGGCGTTACGTGTGCTAGCAGTCAACGTATTCGGCATATTCCTTCTTTCTGGGATTCAACTTCATGTGTAAATGCATAATTTCAATTATGTTACATGGTTCTCTACTTTGATACGTCTGATTTCAAAGCTGAGTACAGGGGGGGAATACCTGACTCGAATACCTACATGCTCTACTTATAGAATCTGTTATTCTGGGTGAAAGACTCAGTTGTCTTTTACATGAATCAGAGGCAGCTGCGAGTGACAAAAGGTCACACAGATAATTTATAACAGGGTTTCAAAGCATCTAATACGACACAACGTGGAGATATCACACTTTTGCAGCATAATATGTCGGCAATGTCCGGGCATAAATGCTTTTTGAACAGTGTACACGCTGTCGAAGCTCGATTGACTTCGTAAACAAAAATCACGTGACCCGGTGTGACTACAAAGTCAAACATATATGCATCTCCAATTGTAGAATCTCTATACAGCATCAATACCATCACCTACACAGTAATGCCTTAATATCTTTCTATCTATAAATCGTCGAGAAATTGAGTATCTTTCACGCTCCTGGCGAGACATTACCGCTTGACTTGAATAATAGATCTGCTAGGATCTATGCAGAATTGCTTATAAGATGGATATGACAATTACAACAAACTTCAAAATTTGATGTACTTTACGGAGTTCGCATCAAATTAATGTGATTTATATGCGCCACGATTCTAATGTTGCGAATGCGTACGGGCTCGAATTCTTCCGGCTTCTTCGGCATGTACGACCCGACTGTCTTTGGGTAAAGATTCTCGCTGTCATTTAACTTTGTTGTTGCAGAAGCATCTTTGCGTATTTGGTGTGATACAGACGCCAGTCAATGTCGCATCACCAGCATCTGTAGAGCTGCTGACCCCGACGTTGTCACAACTGGAAAGAATGGATATCTTTGTGACTATAACTTTGCACTTTTTATAGTAAATTTTTTGTCACCAAGTGCACAATCTGCCCACACCTCCAAATGATAGACATAATTCTCGATTACGGCACATGCTGCGAGAAGCTATTTTTACTTGCTGAGGAGGTAGTTCGTCATATAAATTAATTTTCACATCAAGCTCCGCATCATGATGACAATCGCGCACACATAGCAATACATTCACATTTCAAAAAAAAACACCAACGACTTGCATGAAGGTTGCCGGTATGAATAATAAATTGGATTTAGCCAGTTTGGCGTCATGTTTCTCACAGTAAAATCGATACGAGTGCTTAGTTTGGCGTTTTTTAGTTGACAATTTTAAATTTATGGGATCCGGCTTAAACATTTTCATTGGTCGTGATCAAGAACATTGTTTGTAAAGTCTATTATACACCCACTTCACACTATGATGATCAAGCAAAGAAGTGGCTCGACCTGCGGCGATGACACTAAGCTACATCTTGGGACCTACCTCAGTTCACGAACCAGCTGTGGGGTCGTCAACTCGCCCCAAGTGCTGACAAACAGCCGCAGCGCAATATTACTCCATTGAGGATCGGTAAGTATCAACTCGGTACAAGAATGACGAAGTGTCGCACGCATGCATCGTAGCGAAAGATACATACCAGCAAGGAAGGAAGAGTATAGCCATTTCTTTGAACTGACTATTCGCATATCGGTGCTCGATGGCAGTCCATTTCCGGATACAACATTGAGGTTTCTCCGAAACAACGGATACCGTGTGTTGA